AAGTATCAAAATATTGCCCCTCTGTCAGATATGGTATTATATATGACATTATTAGATTAATAATACTGGTGCAACAATGTGTTTGTAGCATGCAGTTGGAGCTGCTTTTATCTACATTCGATACAGTTCAGGGCAGGGTTCCCAACCTCCAAAATTGGACTTATTGCAGTGCTGGCTATTCTTTTCTCATGTTTTCTCATCTGCTCCGTGTTACCCATCTAGTTCTGTCAGAGTTACTCTAAGATTCAGAACTGACACTGAACTCTACAAGTTCTACAAGTTCCCTGTAATAAGCTGCTGTAGTTCACTGTCTTATAGGTCAAACTGTCAGAGCTCCATCTTGTAGCTCTCCAGGGACCACGGAAGTGTCTGTGTGCATCTGTTCACACATTATTATCATTTTTATATTCCAGCAGGGGATCCAGAGAACCGCAGGGAAGCAACACAAACCCCAAGAGTGTGTGTTTGTACATATGTCTGTATGTGAGGGAAGGCAGAGGAAGGATGAAGGTTGAGGAGGATGCTACTATCTTCCTCTGTCATCCTGCGACCACTTCCTCCCTTCTCTCCCCTCTCCACTTCTAAACAGCCCCACAGGTTAAAAATAAGCCATTGTTACACATACACAAAGGGACATGGAAGGGACACAGCTAACACCCTTATAGACTTTTAAGTCTCTGATAAACTTCCTCACTTTTCAAAGTCTATTATTACTATTATTATAATTAAGACAGAAATCTTATATCCGAAGTAGGGCTGCAAAAAATTTTCATGATCAAATCTCAATCAATCAATTAAGCGTTTGGTCTATGAAATGTCAACAAATTGAGAAAAATGACCATCACAAGTTCCCATGGTGACATCTCCAAACATCTCGGTTTCCTTGACTAAAAGCACAAAACCCAAAGAAGCTCACATTACTATCATCGTCATCACAGTAATAAAACAAGCCCAATTTCTCATTTGAAGAGCTGGACCAGTTAATTTTGGCCATGTTTGCCTAAAAAAAATTGCTCAAGTGATAATTCAATCATTTTTTTCTCGATTACCAATCGATTAATCGACTAATCATTGCAGCTCTAATCTGAAGGTAATGCTGCTGACTGTGTGCAATGAGATAACCAAAATATAACTTTCAATGACACTGAAACCTCACGCCTCAACGCCCAAAAGATGTCAACATCAAACCAAATAACCACACATTTGTAAACATCTATTCTCATTCTAAATTCATAAAATGCTATCAGCATGAAGAACAACTAATGCCGTATTAATGGACCGTTTGCACAGCAGTCATTTTGATAGCAGTGAACTCACAGGTGTATTAATGATAGCGGCATTCCACAAAACTATGATTACAGATGAAGAATAAACACTGTATAATAGACCTTTCTTCAAGCGGGCACTTTGATTTGTGTTGGAAGCAAAAGCACAGGCGTTAATGGCTCCATAACATTTCGGTGCCCCAGTAAACCAGATGTCTAGCATTAACAATAATAACATGCTTGGACGCAAAGCGCTGTCAAAGATGGCCTCCCTTATCTCTCATGACTTTCATCGCAAGAAAAATAAGCAGTAGCGTCAGAACAACCAGCAAGGAGACTGAACATTCATATAATTTATGTCAACACAGTATAACATCACACAGGGCCTCCCCCCCACACACCTGGCCCATAGATGTGTAAATAAAACATGACTGTGCGATTGTCTGTGTTGGAAAATTACAACAATTGTTGGATGCAGCCCCCCCAAATTCCAACGTCAGGAATGTGTCATCAGATGCAGACAAGTAGGCCTACGTGCTATAACAATGCTGAGACCTTCAGGAAACCGTTTCTCATTTGCACACACAGAGCGACATTAGTAGTAATTTGGAGATGTGTTTCTGGCCACCTGATGAGTAGATGTTCAATAATTAGTCCAATTAAGTCAGGTTATAAGCTTGTATAGCTCGATTTTTGCTGACATCAATCTGCCTGCTGCTGCTGGAGTAAGAACTACGAGACTCACACATACATTAAAGGTGCTGTTAAACCAAAACAATTAGCTCAAAGTGGTTTAAAAGTACCACAAACATTAGACACATTTGTAACTGATTAAATACATTGAAATGCACCACATGAAAACATTATTTCTGCTAACCAAGTATGTAGCACATTGAGCCAAAAACCAACATAACACAGATCCTGTTATGCAATAGCCACAAGAAGGTTCAATTACAGTTCAGACAGGGCACTTCAACCTGCAGGCAGGGGGTGACTGGATAAGACGGGATGCACTGTGCCTTTAAAGAACAAATGCAGTCCCCCAGAAAGCATTAAAGAGACGCACGTGTCTGGAACATGAGTTGATCTGCAAAAAATATAGTGTTTTTGCACATCTCCCATACGGTTTTGGGGCTCTGTACCTATTTTCCACTCCGAACGAGAGCACATCTTCTGTCCGCATTGTTAAAGTCCAGCATTAAGTTAAGTTATGTAGAAAGCGGGCTCTTAAGACTGTCTGATCCTGTAAATCACTTATGAGAGCCAGCACACCACACCACCGGGATTTACAGCAACCGAGCTATCCGTGTATGAATGATTACGGACTTGGTTATTTTCCCATAGCTGGACCCAAAAATAGCTCCTCCAGCTTGGACCTATGCCATGCAATGTCTTTTGATTTTTTATTTGTTGTTTTTTTTGTCCCTGGGGCTATAAAAACAGCATAGACAGAGTAGAGCGGAAAATAGAATCATTGCTCCCTAAGCAAGATGGTCAAACCATGATATGAACTACCCAACCAAACATAAGCTTTCCCACCAGTCAGCCGATGCCCGTAGGCTATGCTGGGAGATAAGAAGATCAGCACCAATGCCACTCTCCCCCACCTATCAATCAGTGTGGGAGCCAGCACGCCCTGACACAGTTCTCAGATATGGTCAGCCTGACACCACGTTCACCACCAAAGCATCTACTCTGATTCCTTTTTCAGCCCATTATCTAATTTTATCTTTCCTTAGTTTCCTCCTGAGAATAAGCAAACTATGCCTTTCTGTCTTTATTTAGTTTCCTTGACTTGTCACTGTTTTTACTGTTTCCTCACTTTAAAAAAAAATGGGATGCAATTCAACATTTTTCATCAATAAGATGGTTGATAAGCAGCTTGAATCCCTTACAGTGGCAACAAGTGCAATTAGTAACATTAGTAACAATTGTTATAGCTATATAGCATAAAATAAAGGGCAGTTGGTTTTGTTCAAACTAATGGCCAAGGCTTGTTGGTTTGTATGTTGTTTGAAATGGAGAGAGCGGGGTGGGGGTTGGGACCAAAGTGGCAGCCAAAGCACCTATTAATATACTGATTGCTGCCTGGCAAGAGCAGGCTGTTCCAGTCAAAGACACACTGGGACACTGGTGGGGTGGGGGTGATAGTTTCCCACGGGCGGACCTACAGTCAGACTGTAGAGTCCAGGAATCATTCTGAGGTATTCCAAAGTCAAGTAAGGGCCTGGTCTGAGATCGGTTTCTTGGGTGTGAGGATTACAACTTGGCAACACTAAAGGGTATTCCTGAAGACACTGAAATTGAGCCAATTGAAGATATAAACACACAAAACAAACATGGAAATAGCATCTGCTGGCGAAATAAAAGCTGCCTTGCAAATTTTGCAGGGGCTGGGGATGGCATTAGAATAACATTAGTTTGTAATTAAGAATAAGAATGCATATGAACAGAATATAGGTTTCCTTTTCTGGATGGATCAAGCCCAGCAAGCGGTATGAACTTACAGGAGCAACTCCTGCAAATCTGTTGGGTTTGCTGGTGATTGCTAACTTGCATGTAAAAGTGAATGAAAATCACCTAGGAGAAATGCAAATTCATAGAGAAAACAAGGCCTGCTGGGAACATGTTCAAGGGTGCCTTGTGTATCTACACCTCCATGTACCCTCCATTGTTTAACTCCATGCTGCCGCTTTGGATCTGGACTGAATGTCAAATGGAATCCAGCTCCATTCTTTAATGTGCAGAGTTTTGTTAGTTCACCATAAGTCTGTAAGGGAGATATGTTTAAGCTTGTTTTTGATTGATCATTTTGAGTGGTTTCATTGAAAGCAGAAACTTTAAGTCATTAATATTTAGGTTTCATACTAGTATGTACAGCTTGATTGAGTCTTGGAGCTCTGCTGATGACATGAACACTATCAGCTTGGATTGTAAATGACTAAAGCACTGCAATATTTCCCATCTTTACAGTCGCATGCCATTCGCTTTTATCTCTGCGTTGACGTACTGTGACGTTCCCATATGTTGACCAAGGACTCATCAGCCATCTGTTGTGTTTCATATTAGTGGGGGAAATCACAGCGACACTCTATTCAACTCTATTCTATTTATATTTCTATTCATATGGTACTTAGAATTGCAACTGTAGAAGCAGGCAACAAGCCAGCTCAGGGTGTGACCTTCCCTCAACCTGCATTCATCCTCAATGATATACTTTACAACCCCGTACAGAAAAAAAACATAGTTACATTCCATTAATATTGCTGTAAGAACTTTTAGTGTGTCTGTGGTACTCAGTGGTTACTTAAAGTGACCTTATTGTGGTTGTGATCATAAACACAGTCCTATAGTCTTCCTATGGGAGCTTACATTCTATCTATGGTCAATTGTGAATTTATAGACATCTTACAGTACTTTATGTTGTGTTGCACTTTGTCCTATACTTACACTTTACAATCCCTATAATGCTCCTAAAGTCTCTTAACTTTTCTTGTGATATAAAGTTGTTTTATAGGAGTATTGGTATTAGAATTCGTATCATTATTATACTGACTGGTGTATTGCTGTAGTTATTTTTTCAGAGGGTAAAACTGCATTACATCGTGTGTTCTATAGACACATTTCACATGACCACATTCAGTCAAGCCTCATAAAAAACATTGCAAATTATGACGCCTGTGCTGTTCCAAGTATCTGACAGGCTCTTGAGTGGAAAACAGACTTTGTGCTTACCTTTTCTTCGGGTGAGCTGTCAAACTGTCTTTTTCTCCAAATATCCCCATGCTTGCATGATCCGAGCAGGGAAGGGTCTCATGCTGCTCTTCTGTCAACACTGACCAACCTCGGGCTCTCGGCTATAGCAGTCAATTATGGCACAGTAGCAAATACATACCTTCCTGTTATCACTTCAAAATAAAACGCTCACTAACATATTGCTATATTTGTTGGGAACAATAAAAAACCAAAGCGTAGTTTAAGCACTATCTTCCAGTTATTTTGCTGTGACTGATCAGTATATTCATATGTGACATTTTTGCTTTGTATTAGTTTTTGCTAATAGATCATAAAAATATTCTTTCTATTGAGCACACAAGTTCAGCTTTAGGAGCACAGTTATATATCAGTTATATGTATGTTCCAAAAATCTACCGATTGTCTTTACAATTAGTCAGAAGCATATTCAGGCACTAAGGAAGCCATAAATACAGAGACTGCAGTAAACTTGATTCACCATCATTGTGATTTACAGTTTACCAGTAGCCTAACTGAAAGGAAATCGGCATGGATTGGATTCAGGATCATCAAGAGAGAACATGCTTGGTGATATAATAAATAAATAACATGGCATGAAATAATAATCTAAGCAAACTTAACTTTTTATTCTGTATTTTATTTCATCATTTTCCCGACGTGACAAATGTGATGCCTTTATTTTGATGGCAAAGGTTAACTTCTGGTATCATCCCACTCATCTCTGTTGGTTTGACCTCGAAAAGCTGCAGTTGAAATAAATAAAAAAAACGGCGGTTTAATATTTTGACACTTGAGCAAAGTCATTGATTCAAAAAGCAGCATTTATTTTATTTTGCAACAGAAAATATCATAATCAAGGCATATTTTTATATATTTGATAGAATTTAGCCACTGTTTTCTGTAAACTGTAAAGCAATTTAATATTTCATAGATTATATAACAAACATTTATTATTACTAGATTATTTAGTAAACTGTCAATCTCCTGATTGAAGATCATAAAAATAATGCTTGATTTACAGCAGCAACCTATAATCATTTTGCTGTGAAGTACAAAAGTGCCATCTGCTGTTTGCAGCTGGTGGCAGTTGGACTATAATATATAACATATAGCAAAATCTAAAAAGGAGAGGATAACAGGAATGCATACCATTAACATTATGTCCGGTTTATCGTCGAAAAGGTTTTTTATATTAAATAAAATATAAAACTGTATATTATAAGTATACTGACCGGTGAACCGATGAAGTTCATTTAATTGTGTGACAGGCTGTTGCATCATGGTCCTTAATGCATGCAATGTATTTGTAATTTAGGCAATAAAACCACAGTACACAGTAAGATTTAATCACACCATCGTGTAAAAGACTGGCACGGTTGCAACACTGTAAATCGCATACTGACAGCGACAGCCAAAGGTTATGGCAGGATACTGACAGCACAGAGTGGTCACTCAGGATAAAAACACATTTTTAACTTCTGCTGTTGACTAAAAGCTGCATTTAAACTATAATTTGTTCATTCAGGAGAGGCCCAATGCCCCCCCCCTCCAAGCCGACGGACCCGTGCAAAAACTCCAATGCAGCAAAATCTATTCTGCTTTTAAATCTATTTCACAAACATGCAACAAGGACCTTAAACGCATCAGCATGTTTACTGGCCGTCCATTGGTCCGTCCTGCTCCGACTCTGGTCCAATCCCAGCGGAAAGGGGCAGGAGCGTGCGCCCCACCTTGTTTCGGTCACGTGACGTGAGCTTACGAAGATGGTGGAAGTTTCTTCTTCCTTGAAGTGAAGCCCCGACTGAAACCTAAACATCCTGCACTCCGAGGGCTGGGAGTCCACTGCAACGCTACCAGTTTGGTTTTACAGCCTCCCTTCGGACCCGGGTAAGTGATGGCAGCCAATAACTAGACCTCTCACCGGCGGTATTTGTTTCTTCGTTGTCGTTGGACTTTGGGATTTCCAGCCAGCCATGATGATGACACGAGCTAGGAGGCTAGCAGTTAGCCCGGCTGGGATGGCAGCTGGCTGTCAGACTGAACCGGTGGCCAGCTGACATTCAACACGTCGCTACCCAGCCACTCCTGCGACCACACCGCCACCGTAAACACACATACCGCCTAGCGTCAGTGCCGGTTATTAGCTAACAAGGACATACTGTTCTTCACTGTGCGGCTAACTAGTTAGCGTTAGCTCGGTATCCAGTCCTAGTTGGATTAAATTATGTAATCTTTACCAACATTTGTTATCCTAGCAAACTAGAAAGGGGATGTAGAGGGATAGTGACTGAAGCAGGTGCTCGTTGTCATTAACTTAATGCACATGCTGGCCCGCAGAGTTGAAGTTAAAGTGTTTGTTTTTCCTCAGTTGTTCTCATATGGAGGAAACAGTACGCCACACTCAATACAATATATAGTTTAGTGTTCCCGCGCTCATTGGTAAAGTTATTAGTTTATATGAGACAAAATACGAGACTAATAGAACATTAGGACTAACTCAAAACGAAATATTTTGCTGATACAAGCACAATGGTTGAATGTTAAATAAACTGTTTATTGCTTTATGGAGCACGTTTGTTGATGCCCTGCAGCTGTTCTGACTGCATAGTTTTGTCTCCTTGGAGAGTTGTAGTTATGTGAGGAAGAGACAATGATTTTTTGTCACAACTGTTAGTCATCTGCATGTTGGCAAGGCTGGTAGTGTCCCCGTCTGCTGCTATGGTTCTCTACAGGGAGTATCAAGTGTTTAGTAAGCTGGTGACTAAACAGGGAGGGTGTTTTCTAGGGTGGCCCTCCGGTTATGGGAAGTTTTTTGACTATTAATGATCCATTACACAAGATCTCCAACGTGACCTTTGACCTGAAAGACGACACTTAAGTTGGATTTTCACCAGTGACCTAGTGTATTCAAAACAAAAACAACCTATGAATTATCTGAATGATTTTACATTAAGATGTAAAGATATTAGTTAAAAACTACTGTTACTTCTGTAAGTGTGGACAGTGACTGACATCAGATGGATGTTTGAGTAATTGATTCCTTGAAGCATCATAATAGAAGAACCTGTTTGTTTGCTTAGTCACGGTGTAAACAGTCTATCTCAAGTGTTAATCAGTCCAAGGAGTTACCAGTTTAGAGAATGCAAGTTCAGCCTATAGCTGATGAGGCTTAGTTTTTTGAGATTTTGTTGATCTTTAAAGAGGTTATATTGCTCAAAGTGGGCTGTTCAGGTGCACAGCTGGTGCAGTTTGAGTTCAGATGTGTTTTTAGCTGGTTAAAAAATCCAAGGCAGGTCATCGTAGAGTTTAATATTCAACGAATATCCTCATCTACAAAACGCGGTCGGCCTGCTGGCGAGGCTGCAAAGTCAGCAGTTGCAATTAATTATTGACGGAGACTGAAGCAGTAGCCAAAGTGAAAGTTTACCCAGGAGCTCCTCACTTTCTCCTTCTGGACGAGATAGACTGAGGAACATGCATTATTCAGTGACGCCGCATCGAGGTAACGGACCAGATTCTAGGAAAGATCACAGGACCTGATTCCGGTGCCAGTGTTACCCTTTCCTTTCTCTCTCTCTTTCATTGACACATTTGTGAGTGGTGCAGCTTATTTGCATTTTGATTCACAACTGTACCTGGAACAATCCATCACAGAAGAGGCAAAGACACAAGAGTCATCTTCAGCATTGAGTTGTGAATAAGCAAAGCAGCCTTGGATGTAAAGTCTTCTCTGTGTCATCACACCATAGCGGCTGATTGGTGGCCCTTTTATTGGGGGGTTGCCACGAGGCCTCCTGGAAAATGAAGGGAATCCCTAACTGAAGTAGAAATAGATGACTTGACTCCAGCCTCCTGTGGTGAACAGGTACACCGAGATAATGTCGGTTGGATGGGTTACAATACAAAGTTAATATTTGTTCAAAGCAGCACCTGTTGTCTTTATGCATTGTTGACAGCATTGTGTGGACACTTTACTGGTTTGTAGTCAGGTGTATTTGTCCCTCAGCCACAGAGCAGCAACATGGGGACAGGTAGTAGTAGTAGTAGTAGTTTTGGGTTAGTTAAGTAACAAGTTAAAAATTGACAAAAACACTTTATACAAGAAGTATTTCACAGACTGCGGGTCTGACCCTTGTCGCCATTTACCACCTGAAGTTATAGTGCAAGTTGTGTGTGTTTCACATGACGGTCTGACAAGTAACTCAAACAGAGTGGAAAGCTTGTTTGACTTGATGTTTTGAGTTAACAGACAGTCTGTTCTCCTATTGCTATTTGGAACTCAAATGTCAACAGCTGATAATACTGTTTCAGTGTTGAAGATAGATTCCAGTAAGGGAAGACAAGTAACAAATGTAGCCTCTCCATCTATTAAAACTGACGCTCCAGATTACATTACATTCATTTGGCAGGCGCTTCTGTCCAAAAGAGTTACAGTAAGTGCATTTGACCTCCAAAGGAAAAAGAAGTAAGTGCTCACATATTAGCAGTATTTCACCTGGCTGAGGGCTACATGGGGCACTGTGGGGGCTTAGTGAGCTATGTTGGATGAGACTGGATCATTTACTGTTTTTCTGTACTGTGAATAAAGCCGCGGATGAATTGCAGGTTCATGCTTCAAGCAGAAAGAGATGACAGCTATTGTGCACAGTCAATTTACATGAAAACAGGCAGAACAGGTGCACATATGGGAAGTGCACATGATGTAATTCAGAGACAAGAAGAAGACCGTAATTTATGTCATCTATGTAGGCAGCAGTATATATCATATCATATCATGCGTCATGCCTGAAAGTCTACATTGTCGGCCTCTAATAGTGACTGGCTGATTGTTATGCTGTCAGTATTATCGGTTTGTATCATACTTGATTGTACTATTTAATAAAAAACTGGCTGTTATTAGAATAAATAAAGCTGAAACTTGATTGTACTTATTGTTTACCTATTTACTGTAAGCATTAGCAAGATAGGGGTGCACATACACTCCTTGATTGTTGTTTTTTTTACTTGCTAATTTAGTTTAGATGTCTGGTTGTTGGCGAAATATAATTACCATACAGTGAGCTCATATGCGTGTTGCATATGTGCAGCAGTGGGTTAACCAATTTGTCACCACCCTAATGATGTGTTGTCTGTGCTGCAGGCCTTCAACCCAGCCCTATGTCATGGATGGTGGAGTCACAAAGTCGGGCACTTCCAACGGTTACCCTATGAAGGCACAGCTACAAATCATTGGTAAGTGTTCACATCTTATCAAACTGAACAGAGGTTCAAGTTCAAATAAAACATTTCTTGTTTTACTTTGACCATGAGGCTTCCTCTGTTCAAAAATGATGATAATTGTTAATGTAAAACAAGGAAACAAATCAATAATAAAAAATAGAATGATGGCCGCATTCCATTTAGCTGCTTCAGTTTCAGGGTGCTGATATTGTGCATGCTGACTCACTGTCACACTGTCATGGCTAATTGGGACACTTTAATAGAACAGAGCCATTGTTAATAATATTAGTAACACCTGTGCTTTTCTTACTGTGAGACGTCAAAATGTCTGCTGTGATAAAAGCCTATTGTGAGAACTTAGCCTGTCTTCTTTGCCTTGCCCTATGTTTTATTGTGTAGTGATGTTCCTCCATCACTGCATCGCCAGACATTTTGACTACCGCTGCCTCACCAGCTAAATACAATTTTGCACTTGTTTTATCCAACTGGTAATATCCAGATTTCATTGCAGTCATGTTCCCCTGTTCTGCTTTTCATTTAAAGATTGTGCTGTAAACAGTATTTCCTTGTTCCTGAGTTATTGTTTTCCTTTTCCTCTTTCTTTCTGCACCAACATGACTGACTGTCCGCTGCACGGTTCCTTCTCCCTCTTTCAGTGCTATCAGCAAAACTAAAAGAGAACAAGAAAAACTGGTTTGGTCCCAGTCCTTATGTGGAGGTGACAGTCGACGGCCAGTCCAAGAAAACAGAGAAATGCAACAACACCCACAGCCCTAAATGGAAGCAGCCGCTCACTGTGTGAGTCAAAGTCTTGCCGGGATTACCAGCCCTATGTGACGTTTGATCATGTTCATGATAATCAGAACTTCACTATTCTGTTGCTACTCAAAAAAGAGATTTTACTCCAGCCAGACATGTGTCAGACAGTATTTAAAATGCAAATATTCGGTCTGCTGTGCTGCCTGCATGGTGGGATTTGCTGCATAGGACATGGAGTGAATTCTAATGTTTTGATGTTAGCAGAAAACACCATACAGGCCATTACCTCAGCTTTGACAAACATCTTACCCTAATTATTAGTCTTCCTGTTGTGTGAAATGTCACCAGTCTCACCAGCCTGCTATTCCAGCAAGCTCAAAAACAACCCTAACTGTTATTTACAAGAGCATCTTTTATTGGGTTTGCACACATTGTTTTCAGTTTCAGTTTTACCTCTATGTGGTTGATTGGAACTGTACCAGCAATCCTAGTATAACTCTTGAATTACGGGCTGTTCAGGTAACTAACTGACTAGCCATTATTGATACAGTACAAGATATGTTGAAGCATCTTAAGGAAAAGTAGTAGCAGCTTTAAGTTTCTCATCAAAAATATTGTCGTCCTTCAGATTTGTTTTGAAGGTTATAAAGACAACATACAAACACATGTAGCACATATTGTAGTAAACACTGCCTGTACTGCTGGGTGAAGGACAGCTAAAATCTACTTCATTTGTGCAAGTCTGTTGATGGTCTTGGTGTAATAAACTGTGAGGGCTGTTCATGAGATTGCTAATAGTGAAATCAGTGTAGTTATTCTGAGTTTTGGCTTTGAGGAGGAAGCATATCTTGAAAAATAACTGCTGACTCAAGTATTTGGCATTGCACATCATCATTTCCTCAGAAAACTATCTAGACCTTAAGGAGTTTCTCCAAAGCATACAAAAATAGACTTTCTTATAATTGTATAAAATTGCTGGTTTAACATATGATCTTAATCAAGATGTCTTGCCTGCGGCAGTTTTCTCTCTGAATGAGTCACTGGGACTTGTTTTTTGGGAAGGATATTGTCTGTAGTGTAACTCTGAGTTCAGGATAATGGTGTGTGTGTACGGTGTGTGTACAGTTTAAAGAACAGATATGCTATCTCCAAGTGGTTGGCACACATAAGGAAAATGCCACACAGCGGTGAGAGAGCGGGTCCGGTTCAATTACAGGAATCCTGTTTCTAAACATATACTGTAAACTTAGTGCACTCTCACCACTTGACTTCCTGCAGTCCAACATATTCACACATCAGATGTCCTCTTAATTTTAGCCTGTCCAGGATCTTCTGCTGTGCAAGGCCACCTTCTTAAAATAGAGTTCTCCTACAATTTCTCTGGAACCCATGGGGGCAGGGTTATTATGTAACAAGTGTTTACTATGGGATGTAATGGGACCTGAGCCCATGTGCCCACAAGTGTTTTTCCTGGGGTCGCTGAGGGTGCTAGCTAAACAACTGTCATAGTATACTCGTTGTCCCTGAATAGCTTCTGAACTTTATTGTCTGTGGGTTGATTTCACCACAAGACCTTTGCTGCTCACACAGTGGCTGATGGGACTGCAAATTATCAGCTGCTTTTTTTTTTTTTATCCATGTTGGTATCAGTAAACTTAAAACCAAATGCTTATAAACTGTGATGTAAACAGTCAGGTGGTGGGAGCTGTGACATAAAGCAACATTTGTTCTCCTTTTGTAAATTGTTATTGAGGGAATAGCAGATTACCAGTTTCCTGCTGAAAAAAGAGGAAATAAAGCTCACATGGGAGATTATGAAGTCTCGATAGTTAGATCCTAGAGAGCTTTCTTAAATCAGATCCTCAGTGGGCAAGAGCAGGTATCCATCCAAAAGCATCGACGCATTGCACGTTTCAACTAATTCATTTGTTTCAACAGGATCGTGACTCCATTCAGCAAACTGGTGTTCCGGGTGTGGAGCCACCAGACCCTGAAGTCAGACGTGTTGCTAGGCATGGCCACGCTGGACGTCAGTGACACGCTCAAGTCTAATGACATGAAAAGTGAGTGTATGACACACACTCAATTTTGCTGTTACTTTCACAACAGTTCAAGCCAGCTCCCTCAGGATGTCCGTGTTTCTGTGTGCAGAAACACTAACATTTCATTGACATTGACACACTTGATGTTATGTTTACAGACATCCTAGATGACATTAATTCAAAAACTTGTTTAGAAATGTTTGGTTATCTGCAGTCTGCAATGTGGGTAGTCGATGTATTCCTAGTGTCTAAAATGAGTAAATAGCTTCACTAACATAAATAAAGCATCAATATGATCTTTTTTTTGTGCCTTAAAAATGTTTTGGTTGGTTTAGTTTGGTTGTCAGATAATGTGGGTTGTGTTTCCTTTGTTTTCTTTGACATTTGAGTTTCTCAAGGTGGAAGTTTTTGTCTGTTCAGTTGTCATGGCTATCACTTCAACAGCGAAATGCACCACTTCCTGCGCACCCGAGGTTTTGGCAAAATACATATCTTGTATCAATCTGGTGTGGTACGGCTCGATGCATCTGTGTCGCAGTAGTCAAACAAAATGTAGAAACAGCTGGTGGCCTCTATCACAAACCCCTCCAAAATACAGAGGGCATATAAAGCATTTACAGATGTGGTTTATTAGACTTTTGAATACAAAATAAACGAGGTGCTCCACTTAACATTTCCGAACGAGGCTGCTGTTTTTTGTCATGATTTTTGGGCTGTTTGTCTTTGGTTTGTTTCTCATAAAGACTCCATTCAGTCCCTTCCTGGTCATGTTTTATGCATGGCCCTGTCCAGCAGTGCTAATGACAGAGAACTCTGGGTACAAATCACATGTCAAAAGCTGATTGATGGTCAGTGTGAGGGCAGCGTAATACACACTGATCCCTATAAGTTTTTAATTTAAATGACTTGTAGATTTGAATGTGTTTTGTCTTTGTTATAAATGAGCTCCTGATTATCCCAGCAAGAGCAACATTCAGCATGAACAGGAACAGCAGATCGAATGGTGGTGTCTTGTTTCTGTCATTTATTTAGATAACTGTAATGTCTCTCTGCACTGAGCCAAGTAAAAGGCTACTGGTATGGCTGTTCAGCGGTGACAAAAATATACAATCGAGTTGGCATTTGGCAAAAATTTTAACTTTTCAACTTATTTTTTAATGTTAGGAGTCTATTTTGAACTCCTGCTGTATATCGCTGGTTTAGCTTTCATGAAATTTAAAGGGGAAAATGCATGTAGCCACTGATTGACTCAAAGACTGCCTGCATCATCAGGCGACATATTTCAGTTGTCATTGTCCTACTCTGACCATCTTGTGTTTTTGTTGTCTCAATGTAGTCTCTGAGGTGGTGCAGACCTTACAGCTGTGTGCAGACAGAGACCAGTCAGACGTGGTGGGAGATCTGTCTGTCTGCCTTGACGGCATGACTGTGGACCCCGAGATGTTTGCCACGGCCGAGGCTGACCATCACAGTGAGTCACAGCAGAGCCATAAGCCCGAACGCATGCAGACCGTTTGTTTCATTTCAGCTGTAAAAAAAAAAAAAAAAAAATTAAAAATAGTCTGGTCCTTGTCTGGTCAAAACCAAATCCTGGGAAAACAGGAAATGAGCACATTTAAAAATGATTTCCTTTCTGTCAGTACCAATTCCAAATAGCTTACAGTTCAAGAATGTGGGATAATGAGGCAAATCAACTGGGTTTAGTACACTCGTATTAGATCAAAGATTTCTGTGTTTGATTGTGAACACAAATTTCTGCTTCATTTATGTTGTGTGTTTTTACTTCAGGTAAATCAAATGGGGAATCGCAACCAAACGGGGATCATGCCATAAAGTACAGTATCTTTTCCCATTTTCAGTAGAGTCGAGTTTCACTTGTGTCGCATTTCCAGTGTCTGTTTGTTTTGTTTTTTTACAGCTTTGTTTATCCTGATCCACCCTTCCTCCTCACAGGCGGAGTCGAGACAGCTCTCCAGCTGTGGACGTCGTAGAGCACAGGTCTTCTCCCAGCGGCCAGAGGTCAGTGAACAGCACAGGGTCTCCCTCGGTGTCGTCAGGGAGCTCGAGGCCTCTCCGACCACCCAGGCCCTCCAGACCTCCCCCTCCAACCCCCCGCAGACCCACCTCTTCTCCAGGTCAGACATACGTACTGTTACTAGACACTTTTCATGTTAGTACAGGAGGAAAACAAAAGTCAAGTGCTCTTCTTGTCAGGATCTAATCAATGTCAAACATTTACCATGAGGCTAAATAGCGAGTCAGGTCTTGGCCCGACTCGCGTACATTTTTTGTATTTGCTTTGATATGAGTCATAGTCACACGAGGCAACACTGCAACAGCACCAACAATTGGACCGAAATGTGTCAGTGTTTGGTCTGTGAAGAGAGAAATTGGCCTTTCGTGAATTCTACTTTTGTTCCTTTGCCAGCTCAAGCAGCAAAGCCAGCCCACCTTAAAAACGGGTTTCTTTTTCTTTGTGATTTAACTCTGTGACATCTGATGCTTTCCTCAGCATCTTCCAGCAACGGCTCTGCACCGGCTGATGGCAGCGATGGTCAGTCAGGTTCCGAAACACCCGTGCGAACGCCGGCCTCAGGACCCTCATCAGCCCCAGACTCAAGTCCATCAGCAGGCTCAGCCACATCAGTGTCCAGCTCTGGAGCTGCAGCAACCAGACAGCCAACCAGCAGCAACACCACTGCTGTCACGCCCAGGGTCCCCGCTGTCAACGCTGGACCGTTGCCCCCTGGGTCAGCTCTGATTTTGTTGTCTTTTGCAGAAGATTATTTGGGGCACAGATTTCATCAATTCAGGCTAATGTGTCACTAGTACGAAAGAGTGACTTAAAAGTATTATCTGATCTTCCACTGTCATGCTCAGCAGTAATAGTATTGTAGTGCCAAAGCTGCTTATATGTTTTGCTGCTTTTTTTTAAAGAACAAAGGAACAGAATAAGCTTCAAAAAACACAAACTTACACCAAAGAAAGTTCAAGAAGAGAAGAATTGATTAATCACTCGGAGTAGGATTAGTGCGTTGCAAAGAAACTGGGTCATCTTTGAGCAAAAAGTCTGTACAACTCTGGGCTAACCTTTACCTCAGCCCAACAAAAATACAGCAGTGAGGCATGGTTTAGTGAGCATTTGTGTTCCTGAAGCCATATATACATAAAAGGAAGTGTGTGTGACGACAACAATGAAGTGGTATTACTGGTTGGTTTAGATTTCACATCAAACCACTGAAATCCAGAGATATTTAAAAAAACAAAAACATAGCAGTAAAGAATGCAGGCACAAGTGACAAATGTGAAGGTAGAGAAATGTTTTTGACAGTAGAAAACCGCACAGGTGTGTCTGAACATTACATCTGAGAGTATGTTACAATTGTATTGTGGTTGTGACTAACACACTCTATTATCTTCACCATCATTAGCGCTGTTTTAGTGTCGTCATTGTCACAACACTGTGACCTTCGCCGGCTCTTTGCTGGCTTTCATAGCGGGATGAGTCATGCCGTGCTAGCTGTTTCAAATCCATAGATAACCTAAATGGTCAGAGCCGTGCACCATTACCTAATGTCCTCAATTTTATTGCCGCTGTTTTATTTTAGGTGGGAGCAGCGGGTGGATCAGAACGGCAGGTTGTATTTTGTCGATCACGTGGAAAAGAGAACAACATGGGAGCGCCCTGAACCACTGCCCCCTGGGTAAAAAACTCCTTGCCCTTTGATCTTTCTCTTGTTGGATACAGATAGTATTTTCCTTTTAAATTTTATTAGTAGCTCAAATAAGACAATGTCCCCATTTTAAACAATATGCCATATTTTAAGATCCTGGTATATTATTTACTTTACATTACATTTATTTAGCTGACGCTTTTAATAAGGCAGCATTGCATTTCATCAGTAACTTCCTGCAGAGTTCCTGTTTTGTTTGCATCTTGTGCTCTATTTGCATGAGCACAAGGGTGCACATGTATGAGGATCACAGTTTCATGATACAATACTAATCCTAGTTGTTTTTTTATATTTGACAAACCTTTTTTCAAGATACCCAATGCATCTTGATGAGAACCATTGAATGTAGACATATAACTCTACAGGGTATCTTTTTAACTACCTTACAAAGGAGAGTGTATTTAGTTTATCTTTCATGGAAGGCTTCTGTTTACTGCCAAAATTACAACATGCAAAGGAGTCTCACTCTCCAAATTCCTTTGATACAAGGGCCTTAGTGTAAATTAAGGCAAAGTTTGTGTTTCAGTATGAAGATAGACCTAGTTTTATACAAAATGTAGCTTTTTTTTAAATCCAGTAACCTCTTAGTAACACTGAGATAGATTCATTGGTGTAACAGTGCTTTAAGAGTCCTATGTTTTTAGCCAGTCTTCCTATAATCACTCTTTTTTTTTCTCCCTATTCCCCATTGTCTTCCCCCATTTCATTTGTTTTCAGCTGGGAGCGTCGCGTAGACCAGATGGGGCGGGTCTACTTTGTTGATCACATCACGCGAACCACCACGTGGCAGCGCCCCACAATGGAGACGGTGCGTAACTATGAGCAGTGGCAGCACCAGCGCAGCCAGCTGCAGGGCGCCATGCAGCAGTTCAACCAGAGATTCATCTTTGGGGTGAGACTTCCTCTTTGTAATGTGATGCTGTGGGTGTTAATAAACTGGAACATGGTGACTCACCTCCCCTAGTTTAAGAAAATGAGCGTTGCAAAAAGTTTTTGCTGAAAAGTGAGTTTTGAAAGATCCAAATCTTTGCTTAATGCTGACACTTCAATAAATGTACCCATAACCCAGTTGCTGTTAATAGGTAGCTCAGGATTATAGTTCAGTTAAAGCATTTTACATAGTCTGCAGTAACATGTTTATGTTTGTGACATTACTGTTAATGAGAAACACTATCGATTGTCAAACAACCAACTGGTTTAAAGATGTTACTTTGGTTCAAGCTGATATTTGTCTTTACATCTGACTCTACCCTCATAATATGTCCTGTTAAACCAAAGTAACTCCATTTGTTTGATTGTGCATCAGGTCACAAATACAAACACTGTTGTTGTCCTTTAAGTGCTTTTTGAGTCATATGAATTATTCTGATTCTCTGCTGTGTAGCTACAAGACCAGGTCTCAGCCACCCAGAATAAGGAGTTTGATCCTCTCGGGCCTCTGCCGCACGGATGGGGTAAGATCTTTAAGGCTTTTCAATTTAAATGCACAGACCTGTGAGACTTTTTATTTTATCGCACTAATGTGTGTTAAAGTACTCCACATTACTTTTCCTTTCAGAACTTGATCAAGAAGTTTGTTTAAGATAAGCTTTCAACAATGATTTCCAAAACCTGTGTGAGTCAGAGTTGTAGCTTAAAGGTGGTCCACCTCTGCAATTATAAAAACATCCCAGGGATCACACACATTTTCACGTAAACCATGGTGTAATGGAATATACAAGACAGTTAAATATAACATTTAAATCCTGTAGAGAGGTGCAATTACATGATTGTACTCATCGGGAAAGGCTATCTTAAATGTCTTCCTGGGCACCAAAAACATGCTTTTCTCAACCTATACTGCATTTATCGCTCGATCTGTGCACTAATCTGACTATTACACAATCTGATTATCCTCTTCTGGGGCCTTTGGGCAATAGTGGACCTTGATCTACCTCAGGGACTGTTAGTTTCTGTGCTGGCTTCCTGTCTTACAGCCCTGTTGATATACAGTGGTATATACAGTATACAATGGTATATCTTTGGTTGTGGCAGATACATTTACTGGGTAAAATATCCATAACGACATACAACACTGGAGAATGTACCTTGTTTTACAAATAAAGTAGTTGGTGTCACTTCAAATTGTAAAATAAAACAAACTTTTTTCATACAGAAAGTGGGTGATTCCAATATGTAGGCATTATAAAATCCCTCCAAACCTCCAATGCCTGTTAATACAAGTTGAACAGTCGAGTAACTGATTGTAACTGTGTCTTTTCAGAGAAGAGGACTGACACAAATGGCAGAGTTTATTTTGTACATCACCCTACGCGGACAACACAGTGGGAGGACCCACGAACACAGGGGTAAGTTTGTGTGTGTGTTTGCATATTCCACTACGGTCATTTCAGATAATCTGCATATCAGTTCAAAATGTAAATGCCCTATCCTTGTATATGACATAAATGAGTTCCCTTGAAACAATCCATCACTAAACGTTGATGTAATCTCATTTCTTAGGTTGCTGAATGATAAGCCACTTCCAGAGGGCTGGGAGATGAGGTTCACTGTAGACGGTATTCCCTACTTCGTAGACCACAACAGGAGAACGACCACCTACATCGACCCTCGCACTGGAAAATCCTCACTGTATGTCCTCCACCATTTTGTTTACTACTTCCTCATAATCTTGAGATTGTAGAATTACATAACAGTATTACTTTGTAACATCTAGAGGCGTCAAGTAATTTGAGCTTGGTCAATGATCAGCAGATATTAAAGAGTAAAGCATATATACTATGAGGTCCTTTGTAACCATTATGCCTTGAGTGATGTGTGTTTCCAGACAGAGAGCTGGTATCATAATGTTATCAATGAATCAGCTTCTATTATTTATACTATATTATACTTGATGCTAATAGGAATGTTTCATCAACCCAAAGTATTTCTTTACTACTTTATTAAGCATTATTCAGCATACAGCACCAGGTAGCTCTATTCTAACAGGTACTGTAGTTCTGTATTTTTAGAACTTGTGACGTATTATCCTGATATGACTAATGGGTCACTTAGTCTCTTCCTCTCATTCTGTCAGTCTCACAGATGAAACCCCTCAGCTGATTCATGATAATGATTTGTGAGCGTAACATGACTTGAGAATAATAGCTTTGGTTTGGTTCCAGTGGTGGAAAAACCAGTTTGGTGAATGGAGATAAGAATGTGAGGATCAGTAGCATACTGGGCAAACAGTCTTTACATAATACACCCTTGTGTACTATAATATGTTTTGTAATCATATCAAAAATGGGAGAGACTTGAAAACAGCAACAAATATCACCTTCAGATAATTAAAAAAAACACAGTATTTATATCATTGTGGGATAAAAACAAGTTCATATTTAATATGCTTTAAGATATTAAAACATGTATATCTCTGCTTCCCTCACAGTGAAAACGGACCTCAGATCACCTACGTTCGAGACTTCAAGGCCAAAGTACAATACTTCAGATTCTGGTGCCAGGTAGGAGTCATAACAGTATACAGTTTGACAGAATCACCGGTTAGTTATTCTCAAGTAAAGCTCTCTGTCCCAGCTGTATCAATCAGGAAGGGTACCATAACCATCAGGAGACTGCTTGAATTTATACCTGATTTGGAAGGAGATATTTTGAGTGGTTGAATATTATACAGAAAGAATCAGCACTCATATACCATTGGAGGACTAAAGCTTGTAATTGCACTGATTGGCACCCCTTCACCCACAAAGCAAGAACTGATGAGAGAAATTACCCCTCAGAATAACAATCCGCAGAGTCTTGAGTGTTTTGTGGCACACAGTTGCACAATCCAGTTGCCTTATGTTGCCTATACTCTGTGCGATAGCAATCATTTTGCAGGTTAATTTCATGTCATACTGTGCAATCTATGTCACTGTATGTATAAACTTGAGTCATAGTGCTTTGATGTAAATAGAAAGAAATTTAAAAAACATGCAATCAGAGACATGGCTTCAATTTGTGTCATCCATCAGTGCCACACTTTGAAAATCAAGCAGACTGATAAACAGGCTTTAGCCATAGCACTGGCACTGTTATCCTCTAGAAAACCTCAAGAGAGGAGGATGAGCATGCCGATTCTGTAGAGTGAGTTTGTATTCTGCAGATTTTTGTCACATTTTTTCACCATAAATATACAGAAATGATGTTACTAAGAAGAATAATACCTCTAACTAATGATACCCATCATTTATAAAGTAGTAAATAATACTAGTGTTTGTGTGTTTGAATTTGAATGACTCATGAGCTGGCACATTTGTCCCCTAAATGCTTCTGTTTCCTTTATCTCCAGCAACTTTCAATGCCTCAACACATCAAGATCACGGTAACCAGAAAAACCCTGTTTGAGGACTCCTTCCAGCAGGTAAAGCGACCCGCTGTCACACAGAGCTCACTCAACTCTTTGCTATTTAGGATACACTTACTCTACCTTTACCATGCTACCTAAGTCATGTTGTGAGTTTTTTCACTTTTCGAGTTGAATTCAAAATCTGTGTAATTATCTCCTAAATCCAATCAACAATGGGGTACATGCTGGTCTTTTTAAAAGTGTAAAAATGTTTTAGATTATGCAAACTTAAGGTCAGTTTTCTCCATGTTTTTACTGCAGTTAATAAAGACTTTCTTTTAAAATAGGAAATTCTTAGTGCACAGGGATGGAGGTACAACATAACCTCTTGCCTTATTTAGGGAATATCTCATAATATCTCTTATTACCTTTTCCCTATTCGTATTAACTTGCCATTAATTGGACTTTGATTTGGGCCCCTTTATTCAGCTTTATATACTATCTTTACCTGGTTCTAAATTAACTTCCATGTTGCAGTATTAAGACATTCAAAGGTCAGTTTCTGAACTTTAACGTAACTAAAAAAGGACTGCATTTTTTAATGTCACAGTAACACAGAATAAGTGCAGGGATTAAATTTAAGAAGCAGACTGAAGGAACCAAACCTGCTACATGCCACACTTAACCGTTTTTCTCGGTTGCTTTTGCACAACGTTGAAAGAAAATCATGATTTTTAAAATGTTGTGTGCAGTTCTCACGTGTGTTTTCGGTGCAACTCCTCAGCTGTCATTAATCAAACTCACTTACACACAGGGTCTGAAACTGAGATTTACGCAGGCACTACGGTCACTGATCTGGACAGGACAAAACTCAGAGAGGTTAAACAGCCCTCTCATACAGAGGAGAGGATGTGAATGTATTCTGTATGTGATGTGCTTGGTCAGAGGGAGAGGTGGACCAAGAGGGAGGACAGAGCCTCCATGTTGCTGTGAGGACTTCATGGCAGAGACATGTAGAGAACAGCTTCCCCATAGATTAACTTTGTTTATGTGCTTAAACAGTTGAGAGAAACTGTACTTGGTACACTAAGCTACTGTTCCATCATACAGTCATTACACAATGAATCTATCAATATATTGTCTCTATTTTAGATAATGAGCTTCAATGCTCAAGATCTGCGAAGGAGACTATGGATTATCTTCCCTGGAGAAGAAGGCCTCGACTACGGCGGCGTCGCCAGGTAAGTTAGAACATGGCTGAACGTATATGACTGTAAATCTGAAATAGATAGATACACTGGTCCATTAGTAACTCCTCTGGATGATTATTTGGACATTTGTAACTTATTTTGTAACCTGTCTTACCAGAGATTTTGAGTTTTTCCTGCTTAATTCATTAGCAGTAATTATCTTTACTGCTACATCTCCAGCATAATTGCTTGTTAGCTAGTTAGCTATGTGGTACTGCCCGATTCTCATTACTTTGGTGTCCTGTCTTACAGGGAGTGGTTCTTCCTGCTCTCCCATGAGGTTCTGAACCCCATGTACTGCCTGTTTGAGTATGCCGGTAAAGATAACTACTGTCTCCAGATCAACCCTGCTTCCTACATCAACCCTGACCACCTCAAGTATTTCAAGTTCATAGGACGCTTCATTGCCATGGTAAGTCATTTTTGAATGTGTTGATTTGTATGAATAACTATGGTAATAAAAGATGATTGTAAGTTTGTACTGCACAGAGAAGAATTTCCTGCACAGCAACTTCTGAAAGAAATGTAATCAAACAATAATCAAGCAGCATGTGTTATTCTCCCTCAGGCTCTTTTCCATGGCAAGTTCATCGACACTGGTTTCTCACTGCCATTTTACAAGCGCATCCTAAACAAGCCGTTGGCCCTCAAAGACCTGGAGTCAATAGACCCAGAGTTCTACAACTCCCTCATGTGGATCAAGTGAGTACACAGAGCCATGCAGATGGCACTTTGAGAGTTAAGCAAGTTAAGCAATTTAGACCTTTCTTGTTCTGTAATCATGAAAAACACGACTGATGGCCTTATATTGTACATCTGTTGTGCACCTCCCCTGTATATCTCTGTTGCTAAAATGGTTGTGTATTTCATTCTTTGAACGTTTAAGTGAAACTCAGACTAGTTTTTACCAACTTGCCAAATGTGATATGATAGTGTTGGTAGATGGTGTAATTTCCTGATATCTCAGAGTTGTTGAGTCACAAAATGCAAATCCAGGTTGAGTCTCGATCGTTTCATTTTGAGTGTTACCTTTTCAAAATGGTTCAGACTTTATAGCAACAGGGCTATTTTTGGAAACACTGCTGAAAAGGAAGTTCATTTCAGCAGCAGAGGCGGGTCAACTCACCTGAAATGAAAACTGCCTTTTTGCTAACGTCAGAGGAAATGAGTTATTCAACTATCACATTAAGCTTGAGAAAAAAAAGTCATACATTTAACGAGTGAGGCAACTGTTGAAGCCGTCATCTAGTAAATACATTAACACAAGATAGGATCGGGATCCATTTGATTCAGCTGAAGTGACAATAATTAATCAATCACATTGTCTCAGTCTCTTGAATAGGATAGGCAGCTCAAGCAGTCTTAATCTGTTTGGGCTGTCTTTTAAGGAATTACTCAGGGCACAAGCAGCACACCACGCTTTAGTTTTTAAAATGATTTTTTATAAGTTTGATGTCACCACCACCACACACATTTCACCCACTACGGTCTGCATTCAGTTGAAGTCAGTTTTAAGTTTGATATTGACTGGCTGGAGTGGATTTGAATGTTGGTAGGTCCTTCAGTATCAGGAAGGAAGAGGCACAGCTCTGCCTTTGTCTGCTCCTCCAGAACATGGCCAAACATCCCCCATGTATCACCCATCCAGAATACAGGGACTGATCTGTAAATCCAAAAACAGATTAATAAAATAAAATACCACCCATGATATAGTTAGTTGGTGCTAATGGAGCTTAGCAGTTGTCAGTGAGTTCAACTTGTATTTGAACTTGCCAAAAAAATGGCAGGTGTAGTTAAAGTATGGTTTTAGACCCGAGTTCCCGTCTGTGTTATAGCAGGTCCCATTATAGCACGTAGAGCAGTACAAAATGCACTATCAAGGTCCTCATAGTTCGGTGCCCCTCTGTTTGGCGGACATGGCAATCGAAATTAAACAATTTGCAAAAATGGGAGTTTAAAAACCCATTTTTTTCTAGTCTACAATGTTTTATGAATGGATGATGGACAGTGTTTTAACAGTGGTGCTGTAATTGTCTGTCCCACTCTTTAGGGATAATGACATTGAGGAGTGCGGGCTGGAGATGTTCTTCTCCGTTGACAAAGAGATCCTGGGGGAAATCTCCACCCATGAGCTGAAACCAGGGGGAGGAGACATCCAAGTCACAGAGGAGAACAAGGAGGAGTACATCAGGTCGGTTTTGTTATATGATTCAGTCATTTTTCATTCTGCCTTTTTAATTCAGTACATTATAATCCACGCAGTAGATTATATCTCATCTTACTCTGTGACCACACAGTTCCTAGGCCTCAATGTAGTTTTCTAAAAATATAGCACATAGTGAACCACAATGAATAATGTAGTCTTAGTGTTTTGATGAGGTGGAGTGAAATATGTGTGCGTGTTCTCTGTCTCCCCCTGCAGGCTGGTCGCAGAGTGGAGGCTGTCCAGAGGAGTGGAGGAGCAGACTCAGGCTTTCTTTGAAGGCTTCAACGAGGTCCTCCCTCAGCAGTACCTGCAGTACTTCGATGCTAAAGAGCTTGAGGTATGGATGAACTGGAAGCTCCATCATTTACATGCTGCATTATGACTTTTTCTAGACGAATAAAATAATTATTTTAATATTAATAACTTGTGTCCTGTTACAGGTGATGCTGTGTGGTATGCAGGAGATCGACCTGGCAGACTGGCAAAGAAACACCATCTACAGACATTACGCTCGAAGCAGCAAACAGATCATGTGGTTCTGGCAGGTCAGTGTGCACCAGCAGTAGTCAGCTTTTTTTTACAGAGACATTACAGGCATGAGAAAGAACAGTTTAATTACTGAACAAGTCCAAATGAATATACTGTGTAGCCTTAATGTGTTCTTTTCTTCTCAGTTTCTTTATCTATATATTGATGATTTTCATTCTAATTCTTTAGTGGTATTACATGTTGAAGAATAAGTCAGTCAGAACCTGTACGAAACATTTGGATTGATACTTAAATGTGTGAATTATGTTATGCAGCACCTTCAAATAGAGAATCTCAGGTTCATACCTTTCTGACAAATTCAAAAAAAGAAGTTTGCATTTTTTGGGCCATGCAAAATTCGCCTTTGGTGCACACTAAATATAACTATTTAAAAACAGCCCACTCATTTTTCTTTTTTATGATGCTGTTTATCTTAGTCTGAACTCATTTAATCTAAATGTTTTCTTGTGACAAGTGTTTTAAACAGCATATGACTGTGTCCTGCAGTTTATTAAGGAGATGGACAATGAGAAGAGGATGAGGCTGCTGCAGTTTGTCACCGGTACCTGTCGTCTGCCAGTAGGAGGCTTTGCTGACCTTATGGGTAATAATCAGCAATATCGTTTTAATGTTGGCATTTTAATTCCAAATGCAGATGAAATGCGTATCTAGACCTGTGTCTGGATCATGCTCCAAACCTCATTCGAACACAGACAGAGTTTTATTCTGTTTTTTAAATTTTTCATTTCAGTACATGTCATACCAGTGATGGTGTGTTAAATTAACTGTGATCATTTTGCTCCTACTGACCTGTGCTTCACTTTACAGGAAGCAACGGTCCACAGAAGTTCTGTATTGAGAAGGTGGGAAAAGAAAACTGGCTTCCCAGAAGTCACACGTGGTGAGTTCATGCTAATAACTGTGTGGTTCAAACCCAGGAAGTTATTAGTGTTACTTAACTAAGTTATGGTCCCACTGAGCCTGTTTGTGGCAGTTTATTGCTGGAAGCTGTAGCGTTTCTTGCTTGAATTTGGTTTGTTTGCTTGGTTAGTTGTCATAAGGGGGGGCATAATCCCAATCAGCTACAAGAAAAGACCTCTTAAGACAAAGCTTTATGGGTATAATGAGAATGTTGTTCTTAAAAGATCAAACCAAAGTCTTGTATGATGCTCATTTGGTTGTTTCTAAAATAGGTTTTACCTTGAATAAACCATTGAAGAGAATAAGTCCAATGTCATGCTGAAATTTTTATTCTGCTTGCCCAGCTTCAACAGACTGGACTTGCCACCCTATAAGAGCTACGAGCAAATGAAGGAGAAGCTGATGTTTGCCATCGAGGAGACGGAAGGCTTCGGACAGGAGTGAGAGAACCAAGGAGAAGTTTAAATAGTGGGTGCAGGAGTCTGAAGGAATAAAGACGACCAGTGTTCAATTCAGGGAGCCTCTTCAGTAAAGGGCGGGTGTTTCGTGTGTTTGTGCTCATGCATGCACGCACACACCTGTGTGGTACTTCTAAGGGTGTGTGTGTGAGACTGTTGCCTGCATGTTGTTGCAAAGGAGCTGGGAGTTTGCGTCTACCGTGTACACCATGCTCGCAGCAGGCCTCTCAATGCTTGATTGGTACGTGAAAATTTTGTCTTCTTTTAAACCAAAACACAGAGGCTGCTCCCGTCTCTTAGAATGTGCGGCAAATTATGCATGGGATCCTGAAAACTCACCCTCTATGACACGTAAGGGCATTTCTCCCCCCCCCCCCCCACGATCATGTAATGGCCCTGGCCTTGGGGGTTACAGTCAAAATCTCATAACCAGAAGGGTCACAGGTTCTTGTCAAGGTGTCTTTGACTACCTGATTTCCTCTTAAGTTGCTCTGCATTAAAGCATCTGGTGAATGTCAAGTGTTACATTTTAAGGGAAGATTGAGAGGGTGTGGTTTTTCTAAAATAGGGTTAACTTTCACCAAAAACAAAACTTTGTTGCTCTAAGATTGTTTGTTGCATCCACTTTTATAGCATCGTCCACATCATTGTCACCCCATCATCATATCCTCAAATCTCTCACACCTTCTTCGTCGTCTCTCCTCATGACTTAAGTAGATGTTTTTTTGTTTTTTTTAAGTGAACAGTAATACATGGCAATATTAGATGATAGCTTTGACTTAGTCAATATATAAAAAGGGGTGCTCCAATTTAACGCTTAAATAACAATCTCGGTGCTTCAAAGACATTTGGGAGACATGCTTAATATAAGTAACGAGAGGTACAGTTTTGTACTCTGGTTTCTATAGTATTTGATCTGTGAATCACTTAATGATTGTGAAAAGTGTTGTGACCTCCATTATTTATAGTGGTGGTAAATTTGGAAGACTTTTGCAGAACTTAAACTGACCCTAGTTTTATAGGGCCGGAGTTTGTACACTGTGATGTGGAGCCAGGCGTCTTGGATTAGAGTATTCTGGGAGAAGTTATTCATCTCAATATCAAAGACATTTGACACTTTCTTTGTTTTAATTCACAGTCTTGTTAGAAACAAGATTCTGAAGGTGAAGTATTTTAAAGTGGTGTTCAGTATATTCAGTGCTCAAGATGGATGAGTGAAAAAACACCAAATGCAAGTCAAACCAAATCCATTTTATTTAGTTTAGGTAAAATCTTAATGCATGTAGCTCCTTGTACACATGTAGCATTTGAAGGTGAGTGATGTACGTTATTTTAACTTGTCCTTGCCCCACAGCAAACCACAAAAATATTACGAAAAATAAATATGATTTTTATTCATTTAAAAAGCTCTGTCAGAAAGATACAGTGCCCTACTTCAAACGTTTGCCTTCCCTCAGTCACATTTTATGTATTTTCACTTCATAAGCCTTTTGACGTCTTTTTCAGTTTCACAAAGACACTGCTTCCAAATTAATTTGTGAGACATACAATGGAATAATGTGTGGCTATGTTTTCCTTTTTTAAGATGTGTTAAGATATGATTTTAGGTAAAGATTCTCACTGGGGTGTTGCTTAAGGATCCCCAAAACAGCTTATTTTGTGTGCGTACAAAGAATCCCCCAAATGCTTTACCAATGTGATATCCCAACATTGAGTCTTTATATTATAATTGCAAACGCATGTTTGGTTTGGCTGCAAGTACACCACATCTGATCAACAGTACCAGAGTTAAAGAAGAAAATGAATCCAGTTTATCTCTATGAAATAAAAACACCAGGTAGTGTAGTCGCTCATTTTGGAGTGTCCTTTTGAATAAATTAATTACACGCTGAAAGGACAGGCTGGTTACTGAGCAATATTAGATTCTGGTGTTGTTAGTCTGACAAAGCACAACACTTTTAAAAATAAAAATCTCTCCAATTTTTTCTTTTCCTGCAGCATGTGGGGCATGCAGTCCTGGTTGTTAGTAACTCTAGGCTCTTAGTTTCCACATGCACTGTGAGGCGGTCTTTGGTGTTTGTCATTAGCCTTCAGGTAGCCTTATTTCCACCCTCAGGCATCAGGTATCCTTTTTTAGCAACTTGATGCCAGCAGAGAGGATCGACCACGTGGGCTTTATGGTCAAATGAATACTCTGGACTCTGGTCAGTCCTTCTTGACCTTGCCGTGGAGAAGTAACCAGACCAAGAGGAGTTTGATAAGTTCTTTAGAAGAAACTGCACCAGTGTGGAAAAGCTGTAAGATTTTAGCTGATGACACAAAGCCTGTTTCAATAGGTTATTGTGACTTCATCTGTGATAGCAACTACTGACACAAAATCAGTGTAATATAATGAATGTATCATGATGAAAGGTTGATTGATAAAGTTGCCTATTTACATTTTTGCCTCAGATTGTTACCCCTGATGCAGAGTGTTGTTTTAATCTTGTTCTGGGTCGACCACATATTAAAATCCCGGGGACATGGTAGTTAAGCAAATATGTAAATATCATAATTCACTGCTTATTTTTGTTGTTGTTCTCCAGAATTTTCCATGTATGACTAAACCACTGTCACTCTCCTGTATATGAAAACAAGTTGTAAATGGTGTCAATAACAAATTTTCTTTTGTAAAAGAAAGGTTTTAATAAGAGGTTTATGGTAACACTATATTTTCTTTTCCCTGGTTAATTTCTGATGTACATGAAAGATGTGTAATATAGAAATTGTCACCTTAATAAATTAAATTAAAAATGTGTGTTTTTGATGAATTCAACTTCATTGATGAAGTCAATTAAATTTTTATTTTGTATAGCCCAAAATCACAGCCTCAGGGCTATACAGTCTCCAAAAAAGCAAAATGGATGAAACCAGAGTCACAGGATGGAAAGACATGCCCTAGATCAACAACATCACATTATGTGCTAAGTTTGATAACAACATTTTTATAAAAGATTACAAAATGTATGTGAAGAATATGGCTCCAGGAAGAATTGAATTGAATAACTTGGTGTCACCAAGTCCGACCTGAGCCATATGACACCTCCACCACGGAGACCTGGAAGGGGACAGGTCACAAAGAAAGAAAGAATGTGAGCCAGAAGACAACGTAAAATGTAAATATTGGAATTAATTAATTTCTTCATTTATTTCTGTAAAAGTGTGAATGAGGCAGGTGCGGCTGTAAAGCACGACGGGTAATAGTCTATTGAGCTCTATTACTTTACTTGTACAGTGATTGGTGTATGAACCTGTATTTTCCACACTAGACAGGTCCTTTAAATGACATTTTATAATACATATTCCAATAATTGTGTCCACACAATTATTAATAATAAAACAATATTTACTTATAATCTTTCTGTGCGCGCGCATGCGCGTGTTCGTTCGCGCGCGTGTGCATTCGCGTCTATATTCTAGAATGCACGTCATACAGTGGAAGGTGTCATTTGGAGCGCACACAGACAACAAAGCACAGGACAACAGTGCTGCTGCAAGACTGGACCAGTTTTAGCTTTCAAAGTTCACCTTGGACATTTCAGGATAAGTTTGTGCGAGGAGGAGATGTTCTGGACCAGAACAGAAGAGGAGGAACAGAAGAGGAGGAACAGGGAGACCGAAACTACTCTCCAGGTTCTTAGTAGGGTAGGGAAATGTCCACTAAAAGGTTTGCACCTACATAGTGTGAGTTAACCTACTGACATTTATTATTTTTTCATACAATGAAGACAAAATAGGTCAATCATGAGACCAATCATGAAACCTCCAGTACCACCTGTGAAGATCATTTGAGCTCCTAAGCTTCTTGGCTAGTATTATTGGTCCATCTCATGACGGAAATGATGGTATTGGAGCTTGCTTGATTAATCATGCCAGCAGGCACTTTCCGAAGTAAGATAACTGTCATGGACTGCAGCCCCCTGAGTGCCTGCGGTTTCATTCCACCATATTTAGTGAGATTTCGGTGGGTGACATTTGTGCCGCTGCCAGTTGGGCATCTCCACACACATTTATTCGGTTTTACCGTCTACATGTAACAGCACCTTCGTTGGCGCACTCAGTCCTAAGTGTGGGTCCATGTTAACTGTGTATATGATGAAATTAATATTATTGGTCCGTCTCATGACAGAAGTGATGGTATTTGAGCTACAATGATTAGTCACGCCAGCAGGCACTTTCCGAAGTGAGATACCTGACTTTTGGTTTTGGGAACGCACAGATTCTCTGATAAGGAGGTCTGTTGAGGGAGTTCGCCGGGTACAGCCAGCTTGTCAACATTTAGTTCCTTCCTGAGGCTGGAACTGCTTCACCTACCAACTGTTGCAGAGGAGAGTGAGAGGCGGCTTAAATCACTTTGTCCTGTCAGAGCCTTGTGCATCTATTTGGACAGGACTAAGGGATTTATGTAAAGTGACCATCTTTTTGTATTTTGGTCCCCTCCTCACTGACGAAAGGCTCTGACTTGTCAGTGCCTGTCACACTGGGTGGTGGAGGCTGTTATCCTGGTTCATTAGAGTCATGGACTGCAGCCCCCTGAGTGCCTGCGGTTTCATTCCACCATATTTAGAGACATTTCGGTGGGTGACATTTGTGCCGCTGCCAGTTGGGCATCTCCACACACATTTATTCGGTTTTACCGTCTACATGTAACAGCACCTTCGTTGGCGCACTCAGTCCTAAGTGTGGGTTCATGTTAACCGCGTATATGATGACATTAATATTATTGGTCCGTCTCATGACAGAAGTGACGGTATTGGAGCTTCCATGGTTAGTCACGCCAGCAGGCGCTTTTTGTAATTAGATACCTCACTTTTAGTTTTGGGAACGCACAGATTCTCTGATAAGGAGGTCTGTTGAGGGAGCTCACCGGTTACGGCCAGCTTGTCAACATTTAGTTCCTTCCTGGGACTAGCCAACTGTTTTGGAGGCACTCTCAGGACTGCCTTTCAAGCCATAGGAGTCTGTTGACTTAAAGCTACTCTCTTTCAAATCTATCCTGTTGCTAGCAATTACG